CAGATGGTGATGCGGTGTGATCGGGCGAATTTAAAAAATCCTAAAAATGAGAAATATGCAATAAGGCGGAGAATTGAGCAGTTTCTACAAACTGAAGTATTTCTTCAAAGCATCGTACAATAGGCATAATCATATTTTATCGAGATACGACTCTACCTTCTCATTCCATAACTTTCCCTTTGTTATTGCAGCAGCAGCATAAGTACAGCTGAGCAGAGAAATCCCCAACTGAATTGAAGAGCAATGCGTGGGGCTCTCTAGGGGTACAGCCCACTCTGGTGATCGTAAAAATGCGAGTGAATCCATGCGATCCGAATGTACCTACAGTGATAAGATGATTTAAAAAACAGCGTTAGCTGTAAAAAAGGACTGCAGACCTCTTTTGGCGTGGCCAAATGAATGGAGCTTGCCTGTACCCGCATTTCAGCAGCATTATAAGACCACAGAATGTCATATTGTGATTCCAAGCACCAGCTAAATGAAATCACAAGATTAAAAAAGTTGGAATCTGAAGGTAAGAACGGGAAAGTATGCTATACCTTGTATATAACCCGGAGGGTCCTAGTTGATGATGTGCAAAACAACCATTTTTCCTTCGAATTGCGACATATTCTTTACCAACTTGACGTGGAAAAATGAAAATGTCGTACTAAAAGCAGACTTTTAGTCATAGAAAGTCTTTGTTGAAGGAGTAACCTTTTAAAGGTAGTAAAATACTGTTACTTCCACAATCCGATTCTCTTCTTTTGATCTTTACTAGTTCAATTTGTAAACCTAATTGGAAAGCAATCCTACTTTCTAAGCAAACGGAACTATAATTACCTTGCTAGCTACTAATTGCGCATCAATCACATCATCAGAATGCAACAGCGAAGTATGGCTATGGATAAGTGTGGCATCTCCAACAGCTCCAATCCAAGTGGCAAACGATTCGCACCCTGGTCCAAATCCTGGTACTCGGCCTGGAGTCGCATGCCAGTGATTCTCGTCCTCAGGTGGTCTTGAGAACAATAATATGCAAAATATTGACTTCTATTATGCTTATGTGTAAGGTACCTTATCAATTGCCCCACTTTATGCGCACCAAATGTAAAAACAGCCCCCAGCGACGTTCGAAGCACAGTATGATTAGCACCAGCAGCTACCTGCACAACCTGCACATCTGGCGGAAGTGCCACCTTAACATGTACCGGCGATTTGCATGAACGACTTGAGATATAGACATTAGGGCCAAATTTGACTCACCAACTGCGGCTCGGTCTTACTTCTGACATCTCCAGTGCCCAGCTGGCCATGACAGTTCGAGCCAAAAGAGAATACACTTCCATCAGCCGCCAATAAAATCGTGTGAAAGTTGCCACAGCTTACTGACGAGACCTGAAAATGAAGTTCATTTGAAAATTTTTAAAGGTTATAACGAAAGCAACCTTACTTTGACATTCTGTTGATTTCTGACTATAGTAACTCGAGCTGGAGCGAGATGTGTTCGAGTTGGTGTCTCATTAGCAGGTCGCTGTTGTTGTTGAGAAGATTCGCCGCAAGCACGACATAAGCCACATCTATTAAGCGTTTTATATCAAAGGCTTAAAATAGATTTGTGGAGCTGACCTTAGACATGTCGTGTCGCCAGGTCCACAAGTGCAGGTGCCAGTTTTCCTCGTAAAAGCGGGTAACGGACAAGCTGCGCCACGAGCGGAGCAAAGACCACATTGCGCGCAATACGATGGGATGTCCTAAATGAGGAATGGCGAAAGCTTCTCAATAAACACTGTAAACGATAGACGTGATTGGCAAAACATCCTAGCCATTTCTTCCCATCTAACACACCTTGACAAAAAGATGTTCTGAAGGCTCACAGGCAACAACTGAGCCACGCCGTCGTGGTGAAGGTGTTAGTGAGGTCGAAGCTTGCTAAATTGAATTAACATAACCAATATTTAAAGTGTTGTCGCCGAATTTTTATTGCTTCCGCCACCTCAGAAGCATAAAATGTACGCTGCCAAAAGACAAGTTTTCACATCTAGTTTGTTCAAATTTAGAACTCTGATGTAAAGGAAGGCGAAA